CCCCCCCCCCCCCCCCTTATCCCCTCCTCTGAATCCTGACTCTTTCTGCAGCCTTTCTACTGCTACTCCTTGGCTCCTTTTTAATACTGTCTTTCAGCCACTCCCCTGATTTTAAGGTAGGTAAGATCTTACACTTAACCTTCTGGGATAAGGGTGAAAAATCTCGGAGTCCCCTGTGAAAGCTGTGCACGTCAAAGATCTATTGGTGATCCAAAAAAGATAAGAGTAGGCTTCGACCGCCACCCGGGAAAAATTCAAAATTAATTCTTACGAAACTGAAAATGTAATGGAAAAAAATAGGTCATCATCATCATCCAGTGCTAGATCTGCGACAGACATCGGCGATCATGGTTTTCCATTCATTCCTTTGCTCGGATACTCTAAAAAAAAGCTACGTTTCCCTGATCTTTCTCTGTTACCCATTTGTTTAGGTTCCCTAAGTATGTTGTTCTGGGCCTACCCCTGCCTCGCTTGCCCTCAATTTTGCCAGTGAGAGCTGGATGTTCAAGACCCTTATGTCTATTCAGGTGTCCCCAAAACTGCATTTGTCGTTTCCTGATTGTTTGTAACATTGAGCGTCCCACGTGGGCTTCCTCAAGCACTACCTCATTTGATTTCTTTTCCTTTCACGATACTCTTAGCAGTCTCCTAAGAAACCACATTTCTGTTGCTTCTATTTTATTTTCACTGTTTTTAGTGATTGTCCAGCATTCACAGCCATATATATAGAAGGGTTGACCAAACATAGCATTTCGGGACTTTCATTTTGGAGTTCATTGAGATGTTTCTATTTTTCAGGATTGGGCTCATTTTTATTGAAACTAACCTTAGCCATTGCAGTTTTCCTTTAAAAAAAAAAAAAAAATTTTTTAATAGGTACAATTGTAAAAAAAGAATGAAACCATTTTTTTCTCTCTCTCCTGAAAAATTCTACTCTTTGACCTTAAGACATTTTAACAGCTTGCCGACATTATGCATGAGTGTGCAAATCAACTGGAATCTCTGCGTTTTGCTGTTCGGATTTAAATCGTTTTGTTCTTTTCTGCCTGACGGTATATTTATGCTTAAAGAGTATAAATCAGCAAATCGCCGGCAGCAATGAAGTTGGGTTTTCAGCTCACCGATTTCTTGCTGTTACCACATTGCTTTGTGACGTTCACATGACCTTATGCAGTTGTGAGCGCTGTAAAAACCTTACTAAAACTAAAAACATTGGTTTTTTTTTTCACATTTAGAATTCTACTTACAAAGTACAGGAAATTGCTGTATTATCCGGGATTCCAAAATTGCCCCCCCCCCCTTCGAAAAAACGACAACAAACAAAAAATAAGCAAACAAAACCCAAACAAAACCAAACAAGCAAAACAAACAAATCTACCTCTGTATTTCTCTCTCTCTCTCTCTCTCTCTCTCTCTCTCTCTCTCTCTCTCTCTCTCTCTCTCTCTCTC